GAATACAAACTGTGAAGACAAGGAAGTTAAATAATTCCATTTTTTTCTCCTATGTCATTTTTGCTGAAGAACTACTCACTTATCCTAGGAGGAGTCCAGGCGTGGTGGCTCATGCCTGTAATCCCAGCACTTTGGGAGTCCAAGGCAGGTGGATCACCTAAGGTCAGAAGTTGAAGACCAGCCTAACCAACATGGCGAAACCCCATCTCTACTAAAAATACAAAAATTAGCTGGGGATAGTGGTGCGTGCCTGCAATCCCAGCTACTCGGGAGACTGAGGAGGGAGAATCACTTGAACCTGGGAGGTGGAGGTTGCAGTGAGCCGAGATAGAGACACTGCACTCCAGCCTGGGCAACTTCATCTCAAAAACAAAACAAAACAAAACCAAAAAATCCTAGGAGCTATCTTGTTGAGACTTGTCACCATGATGTAGGAGGGATGAACCTTTACTCTTAGCATAATGAATGTGACACTGCCTACTTCCATCCTGTGGGACAGCTGAAAGAATGAGCCCTCAGCATCACACATGCCAACCAGTCTATTAGAGCAAACTTGCATATAAGTACTTTTGCCAAAATTCTCCAACTTAATTTTTAAATAGCTAAAATATGATCAAGGTCATATGGATACTGTATCTGGAACTTCAAATATATCCTGTTCACAAATGTTCAGTGTTATAGAGACAACAGCTTGGGACAGTCAAGGGTACAATCACATTTTTAAAAATCAAGAGTAAACCCAGGATAGAGGGCAGTGGTATCTTGGCTCACTGAAATCTCTGGCTCCCGGGTTCAAGTGATTTCTGGCTAATTTTTGTATTTTTATTGGAGACGGGGTTTCACCATGTTGGCCAGGCTGGCCTTGAACTCCTGCCCTCAAGTGATCCACCTGCCTTGGCCTCCCAAAGTGCTAGGATTACAAGTGTGAGCCACTGTGTACAGCTGCATTACTAGTTTATTATACAACAGTTAAAAGAAAAACCCACCAAAAACCAATCCAATTATATTTATTAACCACTTTAACAACCTCCTTTATTCTTTATCAAGCACTTTACTCCAAGTTTGGTAAGTGTAATCATGAGATTGTGTAGCCTAATGGTCCAGAAAAACCACCTCTGGTTGCAAGATGATGCCTTGCTATGGAACCATTAATAATTAAGCTCCAATTAAACCCTGAATGAGACATAGAAATTTGTGAAACAATTATATATCCCAAAATGTGAAAAATGAGATTTGAGGCAGATGGTAACTCTAAGAAAGAGTCACTTAAGTATTAAAATGGCACTCTGGAAATAGACTCATAGCAAAACCAAATTTTCTATTAGGCTCATCTTATGGCTGAGACCACTGGCAGTGGAGAACAGAAGCGGGGCTGCATGGTTAGCCTGTACCAAGGAAATTTTGCTTTTATGGATCCACAGAAGAAAAATGACTTTTGGTGCCATGTGGCTTGCACTTACCTACAGCAAGACAGCCTAGCTCCCTCAACTCCATTGTGTGTCTGGGAAAGGACAGTAAAAACATCTCCTTGAGAAGTAAAGACTACAAGGAAGCTACAGGCTCACCGTGCACAGGTGAGAAAGGTGGACCATGTGTAGATTTTAACAGTTTCTTTTTTTAAACTGGAGGAATCTATCACATACCACAAAAAAAAAAAAAAAAAAAAAAATTGTGTCCTCCTCTGTGAAAAAAAGGATTATGCAAAAAAATCAGATTTGTAATAGAAAACGATGTATACCTCCAGAGTAGGTAAACATATGGTTTATGTTTTTAAAAAATACAAAATAATTTCATGACGAAATACCTTGATTTGCATGTGATTTAGAACTCATTTCATATTAACCAGATTCAGTTGCTGTGATAAATCTTTGCTTTAGAAAATCTATTTTTAAAAAATATCTAGTTTTAAGCCAGAAGATAAACCCTTCATTTGTGTGTCCACATGTAAGCTAGCCTGCTTGGTATCATGCAGCGAATATACTAAAAGATTAATAAAATTATTTTAAAAATCTCCTGTCACAGACTAACAAATATTATATTTCCTCAATTTTTCTGGGCTGTACTACTTTGTATTAATGCAATCTGAATTTTCAGATATAAATACTAGTCAATGGTCGTTTGTTAAAACTTAAAAGCAGTAGGGTTGGGAGGACCTTTGCAATATTGGTCATTAAATCATAAGTAAAATTATTCTTAGAACTAGACCGCAGTCAGGTGGACTGCCCTAACTGTTCTTAGTTCAAATTCTGCAAATTGATCACAAAGTTCATAATCATGCCCTTTTATGTGCTTTAAATGGACATAGTGACTTTGTGGTATATGCTTTGTAAGAGAGCAGGTAACTCCAGCACAGAGGAAACCATGTAACGCAGAACTGGGGAGGACTTCAGTGGCACTATTCCATTTTTATTGATCCAGACTGTTGCTTTCAATCCTGCATTGAGGCCTCCTTGGATGTCAGCTTTTAGTGTGTCACTGACGGTCACACTGTCCCCAGGTTGTACTTCGAGGAGATTGTAGCAATAATAAAATATGGATGGTGCTGGCTTCTCTCTCTGCTCTCTACCTACAATAGCGTGGAAATATGACTGACAGGCAGAAGCCTCAATCTTCTCCCTCTGGGTCTGTCTGTACCCATCCCTTAACAGAAATAGGCAGACCTCCTTTCAAAGTTTGGTGAGATGGCTTTGATATCTTCTGCTAGTGTCATAAGCTGTAAATGTGTAATTTCCAAAGGAAGTGACATTCTTCAGTCAATTTTCTGTTGGCTGCACCACCTTTTGTTTCCTGGACTGCTTCTTCCCAACTGAAGCCCTACATCAATAATACATGTACTGTGAGGATGAAAACATTCCTTCCTGAGTTTAACTTGAACTTTATCACAGATGATTTCAGCCTTTTCTTAAAATGATATTTTGATTGAAAGAGCTTTATCACCTCCAACAGGTCTCTCCCACTCGCCCCAGCCATGTCGATGAGCGTATTGTCCAGGTCAAAGAAAAAGGCCAGTACGTGGCTCTTCCCCATAGCCCCCATGGCTCCCGTGACCCTTGCACGTGTGAGGTAGGTGTCCTGGCAATGTCATACTTTTAATAATATATGATATTTTTCATTGATGCATATTACATTCTTTATCATGTTTTAGGTTCTTCTATGTATTGTAACAAATTCCCTTCAAGATTTATTTTGTTCAATTGATTAGTCTTAAGTATCATAGCTTTACATGCCTATCTAGGAAAGAATAAAATGCCTCTAGAATTGCACAACATGGCAGCCTTGTCTGGAAGAAACTGACAGTGTTGAATTTTGCCTAAGTTCTGTGCTCCTGGAAAAGAGCAAAGATGGAGAAATCTCCCAGCTTTTTGTGTTTCAGAAAGACCTTGCTGCAAAGAAGCACCCTTTCCCATATAATTTAAATAAAACTCACATAAAGTGCCTTGTTTACCTATGACAAGTCCAGACACAGACACCAAATTCCTACTCTTTGCCTCATAAATTATTAACTAAATTTGTTTGTACTAATGATCAATGGGAACAAAATGCTTGTTAGTCACATGTTGGTTAAGATTCCGTCCATCTCCCAGATGGACCTTGGCCCATCCTCAGTCTGAGTCAGCATGTAAGCCCTCTTCAACAGCAGCTCCAGAGAGAAAGCTGGCTTCAGGGTAAAACATTCTTTAATCCCATTCTCTTACCCACTTGTCCACATCCAAATCTTTCTAATGTAGTTTACTCCTCTCTATAAAAGAAAAACTCTTTTCACCTAACTCTTGAGAAGCATGCAGGTATTATGGTCGGAGAGTTACTATTATTGCAATAGCTCTCCTTCTCCTATTGAAAGGATCTCTTCTCCTCTTATAATAATCCTTCCAACAAAGTTTCAGTCTGGGTTTGCTTTTTATTTGACAGAACCCACTCATTACCTTTGGTTAAAAATTTTTTTCTTTCATATTCTCATATAAGAAAAAATTATTTTGCTATATCTGGCCCCCACTTGATTTAGGATTTTAAAAAACTTTTTGGAGGTATAACTTACATACATACAAATGTATACATAACTTGCATACATTTAAAAGGTAAAATTTGGTGATATTTGACAGATGGATAACCCCTGTGAAAGTTGTACTACCCCATGTATGGAACATTTCTGTCACCTCTGTTTTCTTTAGTAAAAGGTGAAAGATTTATGAGATTTGAAAAGAAAGTCTTGAGCCACTTTGCATATAACCCCCCACCTTCTGCCCTTAGCTCTATGCAACCACTGATCTGATCTCTGTCAGTATATGTTAGTTTGCATTTTCTAGAACTTTTCATGTGTGAAATCATATGGTGTATCTGGCTTCTTTCATTCAGCATAACGATTTTGAGATTCAACAATATTGTTGCAGTTATTGATAGTTAATTCTTCTTTTGTTGTTATTCCATTTGTATAGATATACCATACTTTTATCCACTGATCTATTGATGAATATTTCTGATTTTTCCCCCAGTTCCTCTGCTCCTTCTGCTGTGTGAAGACATGATAAGAAGATGGCCATCTGTCTATGAACAAGGAGGTGGGGCCTCACCAAAAACTGAATCTGCCTGTTGCTTGATCTTGGACTTCCCAGCCTCCAGAACTGTGAGGAATAAATTTCTGTTGTTTATAAGCCATCAGTATATGGTATTTTTGTTATAGTAGCCCCCGCTGAGAGGAATATTGCAGATACAATTACTATGAACATTTGAGTACAAGTGTTTGTACTTACGAAATGTATTTTCATTTCTTTTGGGGAGGAGTAAAAAAGCTGGGTCCAAAGGTAGGTATGTATATGAATTCTAAGAAACTGCCATAGTACTACATTTTACATTTTTACCAGCAGTGAATAAGCCCCTTTTAGGTTTGAATTAACATTATATAGTTTGTGAAGAAACAACATGTTAGTGATATTCAGTTTTCTATAAAGGCAAATGCTGTACTATTAAAAATGTTCATATCACTCAGTGAAGTTGTTTTTTTTCTTTTTCTTTTTAATTTTTATTTCCTTCATATCATCCTTGTGCAGGGGCCATGTTAATCTCTGTATCATTCAAATTTTAGTATATGTATTGCTGAAGCAAGCACACTCTGAAGTTTTATGTCTTTTCATCATATAGGTCTTGTTAATTTCCTATTAGGATCAGTCCTAAGTATTTCATGTTTCTATTGTGAAAGAGAAATTTTATTTAGCTTATGTTTTAACTGCCTACAATTATCTTCCTTAAAAAACATAAATATTTTTCAGATTGGTTTTAGATTTGCAGAAAAATTGTGAAGATAGTACAGAAAGTTTCTACATACCCAGTGTCTAGTTTCTCTATTATAAACATCTTATGTTAGTCTTGTACATTCATTATAATTTAAGAGCCAATATTAATATATTATTATTTACTAAAATCCATACTTTATTCAGATGTCCTTTGTTTTTACCTAATGTCCTCTGTTTTTACCTAATGTCCTCTTTCTGTTCCAGGATTCCATCCAAGGTACCACATTATATTTGCTAATAACATGTTCTTTGGCTTCTCTTGTTTATGATGGTTTCTCAGACCTTTGTTTTGCTTTGGTTTTAACAACCTTGACAGTTTTGAGGAGTAGTGATAAGGTAACTTATAGAATACCCCTCAATTGGGATTTGTCTGGTGTTTTTCTTATAATTAGACTGGGGTTTTGGGTTTTAGAAATAAGACCACAGGAAACCAATTGCCATTTTCATCAACTGATACAAGGGTGTAGTCACACTACCATCATGACTTGTCACTGTTCATGTTGACCTTGAGGTAGTGTTTGTCAAATTTTTCCACTGAAAAATTACTTTTTCCCACCCCCTTTCCATTCTGTATTCTTTGGAAGAAAGTTATTATGCACAGATCACTCTTAGTGAGTGAGGAATTATGTTCTCCCTCCTTGAGAATGGAGTACCTACATAAATTGTTTGGGATTCTTCTGCATGGGAGGTTTGTCTTCCTCCCACATTAATTTATTTATTCAATTATTTATTTATTTATACCACTATAAACTCATGGGTTTTCATTTTACACGTTGGGTTATAATCCAATATAATCTAATATTCCCCTTTTTTTTGAGACAAGGTCTTGTTCAGGCTGGAGAACACTGGCACAATCATGGCTTCCTGCAGCCTCAGCCTCCTGGGCTCAAGCAATCCTCCCACCTCAGCCTCCCAAGTAGCTGGGACTACAGGTGCATGCTACCACACCCAGCTAATTTTTTAAAGTTTTTGTAGAGACAAGGTCTCACTATGTTTCCCAGACTGGTCTTGAATGCCTGGGATCAAGCAATTCTCCACCTCAGTTTCCCAAAATGCTGGCATGAGCCACAGTGCCCAGACTCATTATTTATTAAACTATTTTGTGACTTAGATTGTTCTACCTTTGGTCAGTGGGAGGTCTTTCTATTGGCTTCTCTGTCCCTTTAATGTACCTCCATCATTGTGCTTATGAATTATTTAAAATTATGTTTTTTCCTTTTTTTTTTTTTTTTTNGTCTCGCTCTGTAGCCCAGGCTGGAGTGCAGTGGTGTGATGTGGGCTCACGCCAAACTCCACCTCTTGGGTCTCAGTTCAAGCTATTCTCTTACCTCAGCCTTCCAAGCAAGTAGTTGGGATTACAGGCATGAGCCACCATGCCCAGCTAATTTTTGTATTTTTTAGTAGAGATGGGGTTTCACCATGTTGGTCAGTCTGGTCTTGAACTCCTGACCTCATAATCCACCCGCCTCGGCCTCCCAAAGTGCTGGGATTACAGGCATGAGCCACCGTACCCAGCCTCAAAATTATGTTAATTTTTATACTTACTTTCTGGCACTACAAGATGCTCAATACTTACCTTGTTTATTTCCTGCCTCATTTTTAGAATTGACCTCTTCTTCAAAGAGCCCTGGCTCCTTTAATTAAACAGTATTAGAAACCAATATCTGAGCCATGTATGGTGGCTCATGCCTGTAATCCCAGCACGTTGGTAGGATGAGGCAGGAGGATTACTTGAATCCAGGAGTTTGAGGCTGCAGTGAACCATAATCATGCCACTGCACTCTAGCCCAGGTGATAGAGTGAGAACCCATCTCAAAAATAAAATAAAATAAGATAAAATACTGAATAGATTTCCATGTTTTCATGACAGTTCTAATCACATTTAAGCTTCTAATGTTTGAAATTATGCATTTACAGAATTATTTGAGCCTAGAGTATACTGGAGGCAATTCTTTGACACATTTTTCATGGTATTGGTCTATTCAGGTGTTCTATTTTGTTTCTGTGTCAAGTTTTGCAGTTAAAATTTCTAGAAAATCATAAGGAGAGCCAGCAGTCTTGAAAAATTGAGTCAATATAAAGTATAAGATATGCAAGTAGCTCAATGCCTTCTCAGCTGTTCTTTGTATTCAATACTACTAACTTCTAGAACTGTTTGTGTCTATTTCAGTTCTTTTAAGGAGACAGGCAAGTTCCTTGGCATTGGACATCTTTGTTAATGATTCTAATTTATAAATTCTCAAAGTTACTATTGTGTGACTGTGACCAAGTTACTTAATATCTCTTTCTCTCTTTTTTTTTTTTTTTGAGATGAAGTCTTGTTCTGTTGCCCAGGCTGGAGTGCAGTGGAGTGATCTCAGCTCACTTCAACCTCCACCTTCCAGGTTCAAGCAATTCTCTTGCTTCAGCCTCCCAAGTAGCGGAGATCACAGGTGCCTGGCATCATGCCTGGATAATTTTTGCAGTTTTAGTAGAGACTGGGTTTTGCCATGTTGGCCAGTCTGGTCTCGAACCCCTGACCTTAAGTGATCCTCCTGCCGAGGCCTCCCAAAGTGTTGGGATTACAGGTGTGAACCACTGTGCCTGGTGTTACTTAATCTCCCTTTGCTGTAGTTTCTTTCTTTGTAGATAGAGGTAAACATAATATTTATTTTATAGGGTTAATCCTAAGATTATAAGATAGTTTTAGGATTACATGCAAAGTGCTTAATATAGTGCCTGACAAATGGAGAGTTTTCAATAAATGTTCTTCTTGCTAAGACTTACTGAACTATTAATTAAATTATATTTTCCTTTTTTTTTTTTTTGACAGAGTCATGCACCACCACACCCAGCTAGTTTTTGTTGCTTTTTTGGAGACAGAGTTTTGCTCTTTTTGCCCAGGCTGGAGTGCCATGGCACAGTCTCGGCTCACTGAAACTTCCTCCTCCTAGGTTAAAGCAATTCTCCTGCCTCAGTCTCCCCAGTAGCTGGGATTACAGGCATGTGACACCAGGCCTGGCTAATTTTTGTATTTTTAGTAGAAATGGGGTTTTGGCATGTCGGCCAGGCCAGTCTTGAATTCCTGACCTCAAGTGATCTGCCCACCTCTGCCTCCCAAAGTGCTGGGATTATAGGTGTGACCCACTGCACCCATCCTAAATTATATTTTTCTAGAGTAATTAAACAATTATATCTTCCAGGGCCTTTGTAGCTATTTAGACATTCTAGTTTTAATCATTTTCCATCATATTTTTCCAGTTCAATTACTTATTGCCTCATCTCAACATATTTAGGATTTAGGACTATAAAAGGGGAGGAAAAACAAAGGTAAGAAATGTGGTTGTGGTAATGAACTACTGTTCTGGTGAAAATGTCCCCCAAATTGGATTGTGGTACATTTAAAAACAATAACAATATATAATCTAAGAAAAACAAAGAGCCATCAATTTAAAAATTGGAAGAGAGAAAACTCAGTTATTTTCTTTTCATATGATAACCTCATTACTTTAGGTAACTGTAACTTGCAAAGGTTCTCAACTTTGATGCTCATTTGGATTAGCTAAGGAGTGCAAATTTTGTTTCATTAGTTTTGAGGTAGAACCTAGGACTTTATGAACAGGTATGAATGCTCCAGAGAAGCCTTCAAACCCCCCAAAGATGGAGAACAACCTGTGGAGTAGAAAACTCAGTAGGTTTGAAGTCAGGAGGCTTGAATTTTCTACCTGGTCATTTTCCTCTCTGGGCTTCAGCTTTCTTATCTGTAAAAGTAAAATCTTAGATTAGATCAGTGATTTTCAATGAAAGCTCCAAGACAGATTTCCTAGGAGTACTGATGCCTACAGGTTTCTTGCCCATACCAGGTTCTAATTTAATTGGCCTGGGGAGAGATTCCTCATGTGATTCCTATGTAAGCCAGGCTGGAGAAGTACTGTGCCATGCAATCTTTAAATTCCATTCTTGCTTGAAAATTAGATGGTTCTAGTAATAGAGTTAATTTTTATTTCATTCAAACAGTTAAGTTAAATTCCCAGTCGTTAGAATTGGTTTTAAAGTTTTAATTATTTAACTTCCAGTAGGAATATTTAATTCAAAATAAAAAATAGGCCATGTGTGTTGACTCACACCTAGCACTTTGGGAGGCCAAAGCGAACAGATCGCTTGAGGTCAGGAGTTCAAGACCAACCTGGCCAACGTGGTGAAACCCTGTTTCTACTAAAAATACAAAAATTAGCTGGGTGTGGTGGTGTGTGCCTATAGTCCCAGTTACTCAGGAGGCTGAGGCAGGAGAATGACTTGAACCCAGGGGAGATTGAGCCACTGCACCCCAGTCTGGGCGACAGAGTGAGACTCCATCGAAAAAAAAAATGTGCATATATATCCTGTTATAAAACTGATTGGTGAAACAAACAAATCCAAGCAAATAAAGTGTTTTAGAAAATAATCCCTGTATTCACCATGATGGAGAGAAAAAAAAAAAGAAAAGGAAAGGAAAAAGAAAAACAAATCCTTTGCCGGGTGCAGCAGTTGGTGCCTGTAACTCCCAATAATTTAGAGGTGGAAGGATTGCTTGAGGCCAGGAGTTGCAGTCCATCCTGGGTAATATAGCATGACTCTGTTTCCTCTAAAAAAATCCTACATGCTTGATTTTCAAACTGCTAGTTAAAAAAAAAAAGAAAAAAATCCTACAGACAGAAGACTAAGATTATTTTAAGATTATATATTCTATGTATGGATAAGAAATAATACAGTGGATCTTGGGGCAAGATGGCTGAATAGGAACAGCTCCAGTGTGCAGCTCCCAGCGAGATCGATGCAGAAGGTGGGTGATTTCCAC